CCGCGCTGAGGTACACCATGGCAGCAACTATTCATATGCTGGCTTGAAAACAATGTCCGACAAAGTTACACCCCACGGCACACATGCAAGCTCAAAGTCCGACGATCATAACTCGTACCGATTAGGAAAAGTCTGAATGTCCGTATCCACTGGTCCAACTCGCCCGAGTGTTGGGACCAAACAGGTGAAGCCACGCCTGACGCATTTTGCTTCCCCATTCTGTCGTGCTAAGGGCACAGCTGAAACAACGTTAAAGGTGTCTAACGTAAGATGAAAAAGAATGTACCTATTTGTGTGGCCACAAACGTCCTAGACCTGCGGGCTGCTCTCTGCTGATCTCCGGAGAGCGCAGCCTTGTAGCGCGGGAAGCTCAATACACGGTTGTGAGGTTAAGCAGTCATGGGCAGGACGTGACGATTCCTTGGGTGAGCCCAGAACCAGAGCATCATGTGTCGGCTCTGCATTTATTTAAGCCTCCTTGGATGGCGGGGAATGCCCATGATCTGCCCCTGCCTTCCCTTGAGGGCTGAAAACTCTACATAGAGCTGCCTTAAGGACGACATGCCGGGGGCCACACCTGTTAAAAGTCAAAGAGGACACCACACAAATAAGGCAACATCTCGACCCACACAAAACAATGGCCACAGCCAACCTAGAAATAGGCTTGACGTCTTCCTCCGAAGTCGGAGTACATCTGCCGGAGAGGCGGGAAACGAGTACTGCAAACAAATAAGCCAGTAAAACGGATGTACACGCAAAACTCAGGTCAAGGTAAAAGCCAAAAGTCCATTTTGGACGAACAACCGTGACTTACCGCCGGAATTCACAGCCGGTGAACAAGAAGAAGAAGAAGAAGAAGAAGAAGAAGAAGAAGAAGATACCACTGTCGAAACCAAGGCAAGGCTCATGGCCTTTAGCTAGGATCGAACCCGGCATCCCGGCACTACGAAGCGTTCGCATCGACTTAGCCACAGAGCCGACGTTGGTTACGTATGCCTTACATGACGTTGCAGAACCAACCCCATCATTTTTTGGCAGTTGTGGTTTTTTTCAAGTAAATGTTACGTTCAGTAGTTTGCCATTGCTACTGAACGGTCAACTCTCGGTACCACTGTCGAAACCAACGCAAGACAAATCGTCCGCAGTTCTGATCGAACCAGAGCAGCACATGTCTACCGTATGGGTCTCACTGACTCAAGCTCATGCTTTTATGACGTATAGAAGCAAACTAAAGGTAAAGGTAAAGTCTGGAGATGTGAACCAGCGTCATTGCACACGGTTATAAACCATAAGTGCTTTGCCACCAGTACGGACAGGTAATAAGAAAATGTCTGCCTGTGTCGCCGTCCACACGAAACTCCGTAGCTACAGCGACTTTCCTCCATTTACCCCCGAGTGTTAACTCTGGTACCCATTTCCTAGAGGCTGGGTGAATCCCGGGAACCGTCCGGTTTCGAATACCGGCCGTGGGCTGCAGCGAGTCGCAGCTGGATTTGAAAGCGAGTATCCTACTGACTGCGCTAATGCAGAAACCACTCAGAATTGCCTAGACTGTTCCAACCAGAGAGCAGTTTCCTGGCAAACAGGAGTGATTCTGCAAGATAAATCACAGGATGCAGAAAGAGAGCTCAAACGCACCGTCGTGTTTTAGGACCCAAGCTAAACAACTTCGTGATACACATCTCACATTGCATTGATGACATTGCTCTTGGCCAGAGTAGTCAGGTTGCTCGTTAAACTGTCTACACGTTCATTGCTTTGAACACATACATTGCCGTGAATAAAGATAAAGGTTAGACTGGTCATTTGCGAATCAATTTTTGAACGAACCATTCTTGTTTTGATAAAGCCGGCCTTAGGTGAATTATGTGCAACAGAGTTAAGAATCTCGCTGTTTGCTGCGTTGTAGTGATGATGTTGTACAACGTAGAATGGAAGAAGTGACACGAAGAAGAAAGTAAAGTTGTCATGTTATTTTTCTGTTTCTTCGATTCAAAGATTAATTTTCATCTTTGGTCCTTATCACAAATGGCCCGCAGTCTATTTCTAAATGTTCCGCGCAATCACTTCGATATCATAGTCGGAATTCAGTCCTGCAGCTTTGGCTTCTCTCAATAATGTTCGCCTTAGGTTTTCTTTTTGACGTTTTCGTTTCATTTCCCCTATCAGCGCCTTTTTTGGGATTCTCCGTTTGTCTCTTCTCAGAATCTGTCAAATATAGTGCTATCTTATGTCCTTTAATAGTTAACACTAGCCGAGTGCCCAAACATTTAACTCATTTCTTTACTTCTCTTGAATTCATCTCATTTTATGTTCATCATTTTCTTCAGGTATTTGTTTTCGAATCCATTTAACTTCCGTTTCATATTTTTAGTGGTTCGCCAACGTTCACTGGCATATGTTAAAAACTGAAATAACATAAGTATTTAAAATACGTAACTAAACTCGAAAACTATGTAATTTAGAGTTCCATATTTTGTTCAAGCTTTCGAAGGTGCTTTTGCCTTGCTAATTCGTGTCAAAATTACTTTCTTTGAGTTTTCTCGACTTTCATTATTACTTACTAAATAAGTTAATTGAGTTGTTACTTTAATTCTCTCTGTCTCTAGTCTTACATCTGCACGATCTGTTATTGATGTCTTCAAAATATTTGTCAGGTCAATGTGCCACTGGCTGTTGGGGTTGGTTCTGCAACATCCTGTAAAGGATACGCAACCACGCAAGAGCAACATTTAATGATTAGTTTTTTTTACAGTTCGATGGTGTTTATTTTACAAATAATTGCGGCGGCTGTGGGGCATATTAAAGAAAGAAAAAAAGGGTGGATGCGGGGTGGTGGAGGGTTGTTTGAAAACTTAGTGACAACTAACATTCTTGATGAAAACAAACGGGAAGACACATTGACCTGACCTCATTCAATATGCTGGCCATGATCTCAAAAATGGCCTGAGACTTGCGATTCCAGTAAGATAAACGAACGAACGAACTTTATTTTCAAAGGGTCACAGATTGGGCACGCAGGCCCGTCTTACATTCGGCCCTTCCAAACAACCGCCTTTCACACTGCAGCTGTATTTTATCAATAAGCATGTTATATTCATGTGATAATATGCTTAGTGTGAATATCAAAAAAGAGAAACCGCATACATACCTACATACCCACACATACACGCACATTCCACACACATACAGATATACACACACAGACACACCCATAGAAACAAATGCAGACACACACACACAAACTGACATACATATGAGGAGCCATGACTACTTACGCTGACCCCCACGGCATATAATGACCATGATGAAGAAAATGATGATGATATTCCAACACGTGGCATATAATGACCATGATGAAGAAAATGATGGCATGCGGTACACACATTGAAAAAACGTCAGTTGCTCCAAAGTAGACTGATATTCGACCACGTCCGGCTGTATGTTTATATCTAGAAAATGTATATCATCGGTGAAAATTCAGACGAAGCAGATGCAATAATCTATACAGACGGATCCGTTATACGCCAAAGAAGAAGCGCATGAGCATTTACAAGACGCTCAGCGGTCAGAACAGTCAAAAAAGCCAACGGCGCCTTCTCCATGACAACCAGCAGCATGACGATGGAGGTGATGGCAGTGACGCAAACGCTTGCCTGGCTTGAAACACAAAATACACCCGCGTGTGTATACTCAGTGATTCAATGAGTATGATCCGGAGGGTTCAGGCAGGTTCAGTGCGGAGACAATGGCTTGAACCATTACAGAAGTCCACTGTGCGTGGAGTCACCTTTATTTTTGTCCCGGGACACGCAGGCGTCGATGGAAATGAAAGAGCTGACAGGTTGGCTGGATCCGCTATCACTACCGACGGTCAGCCTATGGATCATGCTGATATTATCAATGCCCTCAGAGAAATGGGAAGGATAGAGGACTTTGGTGGCAGTGAATCAACATCACTCGCCAGAATGGCAGACTTGGGAATTAAGATCGGTACAGCAAAAAACGAGACGCACACCAGACGACTTGTTAATCAACATAGAACTGGTACTATTAGCCATCGGACGTTGGGGTTCATACTGAGGGGAGGATCTGAGCACCTATGGACATGTCCGGAGTGCAATGAGGATAACCAAACTAACTAACTAACTAAATTTATATCTTGAGTTGGCCGTGATTCGACAAACGAGAAATTTGAACAAATTGTAACAGTTGGTGAGATTAACTTAAAAACAAATATTTAAGGAAAGTTGAAAATACGCGAAACAATCTTGTATGACAGGTGTAGGTGAGCAATCCTAATGTTCGTATCTTTATTATTGAAGTTCGAAATTTGAAAGCAATGCTTTGAAACCATGAAAAAAAGTTTGTGTGTTTATGTGTGTAAAACAGAACAAGAATTTATGGGGAAAAAAATTTTCTAATGAGATCAAGTTTATGTATTATTTTAGACACCACATCAGGACTATCACCACATAGACAGGTTTTGTTTCTATTTTGTAAATGGTGTGCTGAAGGAATGCTGACAGAGGAGTGTTCAAGTGGACAAATAATACCTTACGGGTGGGTGAACAGTATCAAGTGACGGACTGGGAGAAGTTTGTATAAAAGTGTGTTAGGTAGATAGAGGATAGACTTTGTTTGACACTTATTCTTGACAACTTTAATATGGATACGACACTTTGATGACTGACTGTTGAACGGCATTAGCAAAATAATTAACATCACATGAGGTTGCGTGTTAAGGATATACATGATTGTTTATACCAACTGGCATGATCTTCGATAAAATAAAGGACATCTTAAAATACATGCTCGCGAAAAAAAATATTCATTTGTTGTATAAAGATAACTCATCCCTCCTTGTAGAATCACGAATATTCAATATAGGGGATACTCTCCCTGTCTTATAAAGTCGCATATAGGCAGTTATAGAACTTTCCTAGATCATCTGTAAACGCAAACTCTTCAACTGACAGAGTTAGTAAAGATTATTGAAGATGGCGGTGACCGTGAACGTTGTGCGTGCTTTGAGCATCTCCTCGACAATAACTCGCTCGTTTATATCAAACCACGCCAGCAGGTAGGTTGATTTAACGTGTAATAAAACATTTAGCTCACTAGCATACATTGATGGATACCATAGAAGTGATAAATGTTTAAAGGAAATATTGTAATGGTCACTAAATGTGGGATATGAGCCTTCAGGCCACTGAGCTCTAACTTGCATGACCCCAACCTCGCAGTATCGTGCCAGCTGATGCAATTTGATAACTGAACAGTTTTTACGTGATTCTCTTAAATGTTCTTTTCTTCTAATGTTTTTTTTTTAAATAACTGTAAATGAAAGATTGTTAATTTACATATGATGCTTTTTAAACGGTTGGAAATTTATTCAAAAATATAACAACAGTAAAAAACAACTGACTTTCCGTTGAGTCTGAGATAGATCAGTTGGTTACCTTTTTTGTTTCTTGAACTTATTGCTGGAGAATAGTTGTACTTACTTATCTTCCTAGTTGTTCCTGTTCTAGACCGGCACACCATAGGTGGAGCGGCATACAGCCATTTGTTGGATATAAACTCCAACTAATGATGACTTGGGGGAAAAGTTAAATGTGTATACAAATTTGAAAAAAGTTAAAAGAAAGGAAAATTCTTTCACAAATAACCCTGCATATTAGCATACAATATTCACAAATTCCCCATATAAGTCCCCGACCCCTTTGTGGGAAAAACAAAAAAGAATAAACCCACTGCCCACCCCAAAAGCGGGTCGTAAGAGTTTACTAATTGGGAGCTATCGTTGAAACCGCAGTACGTCTACAAGGAACTAAAAGTCTGCATACAAATGAGTTAGATCTGTAAAATGGATGTGCACGCATTACTCTGGTTCTGGAACTGAAACCTTCCACTGGAGTTTACAGCTGACAGACACACATGTGGACCCTTTTCCTTGCCTTCAGGAGTATGGGGCATATAGGGCTAGACCTATATTTTATAGATCAATCGGCACTTGGTGGGTGATGTGGTCAGCATCATGCCTGCTGTCTTTACTTCTTAAACCCATGACCTTCTGATCCGAAGGCAAGTGTCTAGGTGCTCATGGTATATCATAGGAGACTAAGAACCAGGGAAACAGACCTCTGGGGTGACCTATGGTCTTCTGGGAAGACAACATCCGGCAGTCCCTGACTGACGGAAGACCGGAAAGGAACAAAGCTGCAAAGAAATCTGTTCGGCACTCCAAGCAAGGTAGAAGAGGAGTGACTGAGTGATTATAAGTATATATATATATATATATATCTGTGTGTATAGCATATGGAATATATGTTATTTTTTCTGTTTCCAGACATTTGATGTCCACAACAGCAGCAAATAAAAATGAGAAAGATACGACCAATGACGAGCAGAAACAGACAGCAGACCCCAAGACTGAGGGTACTGATATACAGAGCATTATTCAGGAGAAAGACAAGCTCGCTTCACAAGTACAGAAACTGCAAGAAGAGTTGAAAGAAGCAAAGGTTAACTGACAAACTTTTCTGGCTAAAAAAACTTGTAGAACCTTTTTTCTCTTCTTTTTATATAACCACACATTTGACACAGTAGAAAAACCTTTTTTTGTGTTGGGGGGGGGGGGGGGGGGGGGGTGTTAAACTGGGCAAAATCACTCCTTGAGAATCCCAGAACACTGTCATCATAACCTTCCCTGCCGATGGTGTAACCTTGAATTTTTGAACACAAGGCATAGAAGGATGTTAACATTGAATTGAAGCACGCTTTGATTTGCGCTGCTGATGATGCATCCGTAATTCATGATTCCCTATTGCAGCTGCTATAGAGTCAACCGTTACTTCGGACTTCATCAACAATTTTACACCGTCCTTGAGAAAAACTTTTTACCCAGCTATGTACTGCTTTATGGGATAAAAATTTGTCAGCATAAACAGTAAGCATTTCCCTATGAATGTCCTTTGCAGGCAGCCCTTTTACGCATACAAAAAAAAACACACACTACAGCACGTTGTTCTTTGAGGGTACACACCATAAGTACAGTTACCATTTTGTTTCTGTGTTGCAAATGCGCATGCAACACATAGCGCCACTTAACAAACGGGGACATAAAGTTCGATGCTGCTATCGCCTAGTGACTCCTTTAGAAACCGCCAACTACATTCTCTTGCCATCCCATAACTAATAGTGACTTAGTTAATGACCTTATCTGCATGACATGGTTCTCTTAGTCTTTTGATTTTCTAAAATATAACACATTTATTCCCTCAGTTTCAGTTTTTCATCTTTTCATGTATTTACTATTAATAGAAATTTTGCAGACTCTTCAACTCCCAGTTGCCATATAAATACCATTTTAAACTCTTTACCTAATTATAATGACAGTGTCTGGTCAAGATCTCTTCTGTTATTCTAAACTTCCATTACATTTCTATCTGAATTATATTTTATAACACATGTGTAACTTTAGTTTGTTATCTGTCTGCAGGACAAATATATCAGGTCTTTAGCAGAGTCAGAAAATCTCAGGAAGAGACTGACAAAACAGATTGAAGAAGCCAAAATCTTTGGTATTCAGAGTTTTTGCAAAGATTTGCTGGAGGTCTCGGATATTTTAACAACAGCTATCAACTCAGTTCCTAAGGATGAATTGAAACCTTCCAACCCCCATCTGGTTAGCTTGTATCAGGGTCTTAATATGACTGATTCTCAACTAATAAAGGTGTTTAACAAGCATGGTTTGGAGTCTATATCTCCCAGCGTAGGAGAGAAGTTTGATCCCAACTTTCACGAGGCATTATTTCAAGTTCCGGTCCAGTCAGCAGAAAAAGAAGTTCCTGATACCGTAGCTATTGTCCAAAAGATTGGCTACAAGCTGCACAACCGCACATTGAGACCTGCTTTGGTGGGTGTATTTAAAGCTTCCTAGTTTTATCTTTCACAAATACATAAATAAACACAGGTGTTTTATATCTGTTTCATGTTTCTAAAGCACTGAGTATTGTTATGTGATTGGAAACTAGATATAAGTAGTAGTTCCAAATTAACAATCATTTGTTCATAATGAGATTAACATAGAATAGGATTAGTGTCTCGTTTCTTGAAAAAGTTTGTATTGACTCTGGTTAGAACTGCCTGAAATATCAAAGCTGAAGTATTCCAATTCCCCATTGTACATGGAGGTTTCTTCTGTCTTCATCTTCAGTCATATAAACTTTTATAAACTATTTTGTTGTTGAAAATGCAGTGGATATCTTTAGTTAGTCCTGTGTTGGCATTTGTGTAAGGTAAAAATTCTTTTTTTTTTTTATTCTCCTTAGTTGGGCTATCTTGCAGGAGCTGTCGATCCACAGTTACATTTATCAGTTGCTCATTTATTTTATTTGTAGAACAGAGATTTTCTCATTTCTTATGTTTTTTGAATGGATGTGTCTCGCCCTTTTAAGTCATGTGTATAATCTTGTGTTGTTTAAGGATATTTATAATTTCTTCAATTTGTTCTTCAGATCTGTTGTGTTCTATCAGGTCTTATGGTCTCTCTTAATATTTTATACATCCCTTGATCAGATAATTAATCCTCCATTTCCTTTTCCCTTATAATGCACTGTTGTGTATTTGAAACAACCCATGCATTTTTGTGCAGTATTTTCCAGACCGTGATGTAGGAAAAGTTTCATAAATTTAGAATAACTGAAATACCCATTTAACCACACCAGATGTATATTTAAATGTTTACATGTGTCAATAAAAGGATTTAGTATCATCTGTGTAATACAAGGATCAGTTGAAATTGCGTTTGGCATTTGAAGACTTGAAATTAAATACATGTAATAAAGATTTTGTCACTTTTTTGTATTGTCATGAGGTCATTTTTTATATTTGATAATCACTGTTGTTTTTGAGAAAAGAATTGAATACACTCACTGCCTTCCTTACATGTCGTAAGAGTTGCTTGATGTGTACACGTAACTTAAGTTCTGGGACAAGACTAAAGTCCAGAAGTGGATGAACAACCAGAACTTTCCACCAAAGTTTGCAGCCAGTAAATGCGAATAAGAAGGGGATATTCAGGAAGGTTCACCCTGGCAACAAATGTCCCAGATCTGCCAAAATGGACAAATATCACAGCCATGTTGAACACTAACATATGGGGATTTCATACTCAGAAGAAGAAGAAGACAGGTCTTATGTGAAAGACTCAGTGTGTTTGTGAGACAGAAAAAAAGTCAGTTAAAAAAACAAACACTGATTGATGTTTATATAATCAGAAAATCAATAGGATATTTATTTGTGTTTTGATTATATTACCTGAGTTGTTCACTAAAGCTGCCCACTGCTACCAGTATCAGACATGGTCCCTCATAACAGCCCAGAAAAGAAAATTAGTAACCATGGAAACAAGGTGTCTAAAAAGGGTGGCAGGAGTGACCAGAATAGATAAAATCAGGAATCAGGTCAAATGAGAAAAAGTTGACATAGAACCAGCTCTAAATTACATACAAAGACAGCAAACCAAATGGTTTGCCCACCTAGAGAGCATACCCTGTGATGCTGTGCTATACAGGGTATACACCAAAAGAGGAGAAGGATGTAGAGCACAAGGTAGACCAAGAACAAGTTGGAAAGATAATATAAAAGAAACTCAACAACAGCAAGATGTGTCAATGGTTAAGGAAGCAAGAAGGAGAAATTTACGTATCCACAGGACTCAAAGTGGTAGCAAAGGAAAATAAGAGAAGGAAGACACTGAATAAATGAAGAACTTTTGTTAAGGATTCTTAGACACCTGTTAATGTAGGTTCACACTTGAATGGCTTGAGGAACTGAGCACTGGTGACAAATTAGTCCTATCTCTGTGGACAGGCAGCTTATTCAGTCAAGGCATGATCTGGGCTCTCCAGATAGTGAATGCAAAGTCTGTGAGCTGAAAATGTTGACTTTACTGGGGACATGTGAATGTTTACATGGCTGTGGGGAGTTGTAATGTTTATAAAGGATTTGTGGGGAGTTATAGGATTTTGGGGGAGTTGCAGTGTTTACAGGATTTGCGGGGTGTTGCATGATTGTGGTGAGGCGCAGCCTGACAACATCCACAGTGTGTAGACCCCAGTAGGTTCCATGGCAGCAGAAACCATGGTTTTTTTTATCACTAACCAGGCTAGCCTCTGAAAAGAACTTTTCAAGGGGAGGGAGGGATGAGGGGTGTAAAGCGATGCCTTGGTCAGAATAGAGCTAGGCTTAGGTCATCACTGTCTGTTATATATGGACAGTTTATCATCTTGTTTGCAAAGCATGACTTAAAGTAGTGAAATGATGTTTAATCTATGTAGCAGAGGTTTTTGAAGTGTGAATGAACAAAGTAGGAGAAACTTCAATGCTATGTATATGTGGTTTTTGAGAGAATTGTGAATACCTTGGAAGGCATAAACAAATAACAAAGACTGACAAGACGGTGAAAATGAAAGTGAATAATTATATGTCACTGTAAAGAAGAAATTTTTTGTTGTTTTTGTTTTGGGTGCATGATGAGATGAGAGGCATTAAAGGAAATTAAAAGGACAGGAAAATGATGCAGTAGGAAAGTCAATGATGATGGCTTGTAGGAATAGCATCAGTAGAATTTTCCAGAATACTGAGACCTGTGAATAGACATGTCTGCCTACACCTTTTGGCAAAACACCTGATGATGATGATAATAGCATAATGATTTCTCTGCACTATCAACAGTTAGTTTGTCGAATGTTAATTATCCTACGTACCTACATTACTAGGCACCCACTCCTTACAGATGTCAACATTGTAAGGCCCTTAAGTAAAAATGTCACTATTATAAGCCCTATACTTTTCCATTAGCCAGGCTCACTAGCTCAGTTGGTTAAACCAGACTGCGCGGCGACCAGGTGACAAACTCCTTGTGGTCTTGATTCATGCCCGGGGTAGGCAGAAAAGCAACATTTCTCCCATATTTACGGTATCTATCATGGAATCAAGGTCAAAGGGTTTACAACTTATGGTTTCTGGATATTTAAAAAAAAAAGTTTCTCATTCCCAAGCCATTGTTACTTTAACATCTTTTATTCCAAGGAATTGAGCTTAAAAGCTATGCATACTCGCATCTAAATGTGTTCATAAGTGGCATTACAGGATAGGAGTTATTGAACTGTTAATAAAAATATAAATGGTTAATATAACATCTCTCTGTGATATCAGATAGTAAAAACATACAAAGAAATGAATATGATTGTGGCTGAGGTTAAACATATTTGGGAGTTGAACAGGTTATCTGGGATTTGAAAACTGTTGACTTACCATGTAGACCGAGATTGTGTAACCTCAGGGTGGTCAGACCGTCAGGTAGCAGCTACGGATAGAGAGTGAATTGAAGAACCACGTTTTTACTACATTCTAAATGACTCTTCTATGTTGTTTGAATGTACACTGTGGCATATTTGCTATTATCATCAGTAAGCAGATTAAAAATACCAGTTCTTATAAAAATTTGATTTGAAAAGCTAATCACTTATTCATTAGCTATGTTTGGAAATGATTGTTTTGTTAAAATCGTATATAGTTGTTGATTCCTTGGTACTCATGTGTTATTCCTGTATGTGGTCTTTTTTTTTTTGCACGAATATTGTTGTTTGCCTTTCTCTAACTGCTTGCTGACAGTTATTTTACGCTGTTTTTGTTGCCAACATGTGGTGTGTTTGTACATTCTTCTAGTGTTCTGTTGGGCCACACTAAAGTTTTGTTTCTCTGTGATTCTAGTGTGTACTAGGTGGATAACTGTGGCTTCCAGTGCCAACATGGGGGGGGGGGGGGGGGGGGGGGAATACCAACTACCTCATGAAAAGCATGTGGTAAAAGTTGACCAAATTAGGGGTGTATCTTTTCAAGCTGGTGTTCATCTGCCTGAGCAATGAGGAAACCAACAGTCTGCATACAAATAAATCCTATCTATTAACTGGATATGCACGCAAAACTCACGAGGTCTGGAGCAAAACCAAAGTCCAGAAGTAGATGAATAACCATAACTTTTCCACCAGAGTTCACAGCTGGTTTAAGAAAAAAAAAGATTATGTTACCGCTTAGATGCTAACCTTTGACATAGTGACAAATCAACATGTCCCAGAAAGTTAAATTCATGGGTCATATTAAATATCCCAGGGACTGAAAAAGAACAGGATTGGAAGACACAGTTTCCAGTAGGAGAGTCCAGGGTTGAGTGGTGTGAAGTTTGCCGTGAGTTGTTAAACACATTAAGCATGCAAATGTATGATACGAAGGGGAAGGCTGAAACACTACTTCTAGCCGGTCACGATGAATAATGGCGTAAAATAGGGGATCATTGCAGTCAAGGTGATGACAGAAGTGCATTACATATTTCTTGGTTTCGAGTTGACCTTGCTTGTTAAGTCTTCTGTTGTCTTGACGTTGAGTTTTGCAGTCAGAGTTTTTATATTTAGGACTCCATAGAGACTGGTCGAAAAGTTTGGTTGTATTTGTACGTTTTCTTTTTCTGTTACCTCTGTCCAGCTATCAAGTCATATATTATAGTGTATTTAGCATAGTATATTTAAATAAGAGTGGCATTCCTGCTACATGATGATGATTCAGCGTTGGTTTCATTTTATTAGAAAAAAAAAAAAACTCAATATCGTATATGTGTCCAGTACTGTCTAGAGTGTTAGTATAACATTTGACCTTGTTATGTTCTCCTGGACCCAAATTGGGAGAAATTACAACTGTCATCACACATTCATTAATCATGCAAGGTCGCAAAAGACCTTCCGAAAACACACATTCACTGAAGTTATAAAGTAGCAATGAAAATAATTGTATGGTTGGGGGTCGCCACAACATGAGGAACTCTGTTAAAAGGTCGTGGCATTAAGAAGGTTGAGAGCCACTACTTTATACAGTGTGTTGTTAGAAACTTAAAGCCAGAGGACGGAGTCCCAGTATAGAAAGATCATGGGGCCGCCAGTTGCTTAGACCTGGTCTAGGCAAAATATAAAAGCAGTCAACCAAGCTAAGTAACTAGCCAACCATTTTAACCAGCTCTGCCTAACCTGTCTGTGGGTCTGTTTTGCAGGGCAGTGCTCTCCCCATTCCTTCATCTTGCTGTGTTTGACTGATACACTAGATGACTGCCGTGCTGTGTCACAAGTGACTTTGCAATTTTTACAAAATAAAAGAATGATTTCAAAACTCTGTTACAAAGTGAAAAGAACGATTTTAAAAATCACTCTCCCGTCGTTTACAAAAAAAAAAAAAAAAAATGATTGAACTCTCTCCCGTCTGCTAGAAAATAAAAGTATGATTTCAAAACTCAGTGTCCCGCCCGACCAGCTAGCCGCTTTTAACTAGCTGTCCGACAGAATGTCCCCTCCCGGTAGCCTGTTCGATTTATTCATAGGCACCTTTTGGCTAACTGAACATTTACAAGTCTTGTTTACTTTTCTCCACGGAGGCCATCTTGCTATCTTACAAAGTGACGACGTGACCGATGTTTAATTGTGAAAAATATCAATAGTAAAAATAAAGGTGGGTCGCAGGAGCTATGCCTCAGCCAGACGTTGCAGCTTCCCTGCCTGTAAATTGTTTTGTTTGTTAAACATCAATTCCCTCATCACCTGTAATATAGCAATATGGCCTCCGTATAAAACAGTTTAATACAAATATGTTTCGCTTCCTTCAGTAATCAAATGATCGACCAGAAACCATCGATCCGGCTGCTCCGAGATATCTGCTAAGTGGTTTGTGTATTTGTGTAGTATTGTTTGATTTGTATGTGCCGATGAAGGCTCCATGGCCGCAACGTTCACGTTGTGTTTGTATTTGTTATAGTGTGAAGCTTGCTAATATACCTTTCGTTCGGTTTTATATCCCTTCAGTAATTAGGAATCAGCTGCAGGTAACATTGACACATATTTAGTCTTTACGGCAGCAGCCAATGCCACTTCTTTGAGCATTAGTTTTCTCTGACAGATCAAATGATGTGAACATACTCCCACACATCAAATAGTTCCCTCAAATAATAGCCGAATTTAATTGTTTTTATGCAGTAAGTAAAGATCCCCTTTCACACCTTAGGCGCATCGGGCATATAAGAAGAACGTCCCAAATTTTTTACAGACTAATCGGCACTGGGTGGGTAATATGGTCAGCATTACGCCGGCCGTCTTTACTTTCCCAGGACAGCCATCATGGTACCCATGTTAGGCTGGGCCGACCTGCGACGCCTCATACCATGATAGAAATTAATGGGTTTCGATCGCGGTACGTTGGAATTACGAGTCGGACTCGTAACGCCTAAGCCACGGAGGCCGCTTTTATGTAGTAGATTGGGCAACAAATTCCTGCTGAAGTTGGATGTGTCGATCGGAGCATAGCTCAAAACGGACACAACGCAATTACAACTTCGGATAAACACAGAAGAAGATATAGTAAACAGATCGGCTTTATGGCTTTAGGTTTTATCTCATATTAAAAGTGCATGGTAATCATGTTGATTTGGCATTAACAATCATTCGTCTTATTTAAAAAAAAAAAAGACAGTTGGGGGGGGGGGGGGGGCGCTCTACCTGTCAAAGTATGTAAATTCTCCCAGTGCTTGTAGATAAACATTTGTTTGAAACATTGTCACAATAACTTGCTTGCTTGTTGTACCCCACCAGGACAATACACGAGCGATAAACACCAGGTGACACAAAGTTCTACCATACAATTGAGAATCACCCTTGGAGAGGTCACAGAAACCCCTTTCAGCCGTTATGGCCACAATTGTGACCCAGCTATATTCAGGGCTTCCGGCAAACGCCAGGCTGGGGCTTCAAATAACGAAAAATTGCATTCTTGAAAGGGACGACTAGGAGTATCACAATAACTAAGCACAAGTCGGAATGATGTACAAGCAGACCTCTTGATATCTAGGTCACAATTCTGAGTTAGATCTTCACCTACATGATGTATTTTATACCCGCCATATACGACGATCTCTAGTATTGGACACTTTTGTGTGTGCTTGATAACTCTACTTATTCGCTGCAGTTTATTGTATCTTCTTTTGATTTTGTGTTTCTTTCACCGAATTACATCACATTAGATGTTGGAAACAGTGACATCCAATATTTCATGTAAATCAGACACGTCAGATGTCATGCTGGCCAAAGGAAAAGAGACTCCCTTTAAAATGCAGACAGTCACCAATCACTTGCTCCATTCCGTCCTAAATGAACATAGTAGAAATTTTCACCGGAGTTTATAGCCGGTGAATGTTAAGAGGAAGAAAAGATCGATTTTGTTTTCGCGATGTGCACCTTTTTCTTTTGTATAGATATTATGTTTTAGAAGCTCGATGGACACATACAAAGAAGACAGTTATTAAAATAATAAGTTAGTTGCGTATACGTTACAGGACGTTGCAGAACCAACCCCAGTTTTTTTTTTTTTTTTTTTTGGGTGTATGTGGATGTTGTTGTTTTTGTAGCAAATTTTACGTTCAGTATTTTATCATCGCTTCTGACCGTTCAGCTCTCCATACCACTGTCAAAGCCAAGGCAAGACAAGTCGTCCGCAGCTGGGATCGAACCCGGCATTACGAAACCCGTTCGCAACGCCTAAGCCACAGACGCCGACTACTAGAAAAAAAAAGACACATACAAGTAAAGGACCCTTTTCCACGCCTTCAGGAGTATTGGGCATATAGGGCTAGATCTATCTTTCATAGATCAAACGGCACTTGGTGGGAGATGTGGTCAGCATCACGTCGGCCGCCTTAACTTCAGAGGGCTGCACCTGGTACTCACTTAAAACTTGGTCCACCTGGGAGCCAAAGCCATTTTTGAAAAAAAGTCCGGACCCTGCCAGGACCCTAAACAACGATGATCCGATCCCCAGGCACGCGTTTAGCCACTAGACCACAACGAATCCTTAATAGACACACACTATTTTTTCAATTTCCTTGTGTCTTTTGAATAATTTGTTATTGTGGAACGAAAACATATTCATAAAGGTAACCTTAAACTTCGAACTCATGCTCAAGTATATAAAGATATTGACTCCAGCGTTGATGGATTCTAGATGAAATAAAACTGAAAACACGGCAAGTAACAGGTTCTTCTGAACCCCATCAATTCTCACTTCCGGATCTAACAACATGTACACAAAAACAGCTGTCCCTGGTAAGTAACAAATAATAAATATTGCTGATATTAGCACCACCATTTTGACAACCTTTTTGTCTCTGTCAGAAATTACATTTGTGGAGTTAGAATTCGAAGATTGTAGACGCCATTTAGATTTCCGTTGCAAGTTTGTAACCAGGATAGCGGTGCAGATTGTAACCAGACAAAACGCCAGTGTTGGGATTGTATTGTTTGTCATAAATGCGACGGTCTCTATTGTGTTTCGGTCCTCTAAAAAGGATATCCCAATCAAGGTTTTATTGTTTAAGGGGTAAAAGATTTTAGCTGGCCGAGCAGTGTAGAAGATAGGAGTGACGCTTGCCAGCATGAAAACGTAGACAAATATTACATACAGTACTGTCCTCTTGGGCGTAAACCAATTCTTGACTTTCAGGGGCGCAGTAACACAGAGACATCTCTCTAGCGTGATATAAGCAGTTATCCAGGTGCTGATTCTGGTGAATACCACGTGAGACCAGGCTGAAACATACGTCACGTCGCTGCTGACAAATGGGAGATCAAGCTCCAAGAAAGCCGGCAGGAAGGAGATATTTGTATAAAACAGTGTGATCTGCGAACCCAAGTCTGATGTAGCCAAGCCCAGGAGGCTTATGTTGACAGTGTCCCGCACGCCTTGTTTAGAAAAAGTAATTATATTGAGAATATTTGTAAGGATTCCAAGAAAGCACACCACTAAGGCAGGGCCCCAATAGTTAACTAACAGGAAATAGTAAAGAGCTTGATCGTCTAGAATTACCCGAATTGCAGAAATATTGATTTTCCTGTAAGGGAGCTCTGTCATATTTCTTACACCCATCTTGACGACAGTACACACTATCCATGAAATAAAGTTTGTACCGTGCAAAGTGTGTTCACTATTTATAACGTAGCAGACTAACCGGGCTGAAACATTTGTCTTTTAATAAAAAAAAAAAAAAATATGTTTAATGAAACAAAGAAAGGAAACCATAAAATATTTAACAATTCTGTGTCCATGTGTACTCGGTGATGTGCTTCGGTCGCTATTTAAATCTGGTAGATATTGACATTTCGATTGCCCCTAATAATACACCTTGAGTTATATTTAAGAACAGCATAATCTCTTCGTTTGAAAAGCAATGACAGTAATAATAATGCGAATAGATTTTTCCCATCCTAAGAAAGAATGTCACTATTCTTAATTATCTCAAACTTTTGCTGTAAGAACATCGCAGAAAGTTCTGTGAAACTAATCACACTTGAAGGCAAAAGAAAAGGTGTTCCTAATATACTTTTAAGCACCCATTACTTTTCCTCAAAATCAAAGGATGGTGTTTAATTCAGACTGTTCATTTATTTTTCCTCGACACCCCTGGGCATAGTACGGGTTATAGCTCAAGAAACAATTAATCTGTTAAATTCAGACTGTTAATTTATTTCGCCTCGACACCTCTAGGCATGGTACGGGTTATATCTCAAGAAACAATGTATCTCATCATCAGAATCTAAACAGCAGTCATTTCATAAGAAAACTAGAAGGACTGTTCTTAAGATTCCACATATGTAATTAAATCACGTTTACATGCAGGCGCGTTCAACTGCTGACATTAATTCAACTAATATTTTTTTTTAATGGCTCACGTACGTAAGTTTAAATCAGTGCTGTTTAATCAAGCTGGTTTCTTTGAATGAGTCACATTTTTTGGGTTCTTATCTACATTTCTTCTTATATGTAATTCTTCATATAAGTATCTCTTTCTAGCCTTCTTTTCTTTTGTAAGGATTGACAGTTGGTAGGTAACCCAGCTCGGGGGCGCTTAATGCTCAGTATGCTGTTATGTGTCTCTCAGGTTGTCACCTTCGATCCATCTTTTTATTCGTCTTTCTCTGCATCTTTGTGTTCCCATTTTCATGTTGTACGCTCTGGGGAATCTACTTGTTCAATGTGTTAATACAGCGAAATCTCGGTTCTCGAACGACTCCTTTCTGCAACAGCTCTGTTTTCTAAAATAACGTGGCGGTTTCCAAACGGATCCTCAATTTCTAAACGCAAATTTTGAAATACCAAATTCAGTGAAATGAGATTAGGACGAAAGTGCAACGTCTGCTCAGATGAGACTCTTACTTGAATGTGTCTTGTCATGACGTTCAGATCACCCTTCTGGTTTGCGGACTATTTATGGAGGGCTTTGAGTTTCTCTCAGTGAGGTTCCTGCTCTCTACCACTGTTTCAGAAGTGTTTTGAAACATCTTCTGACATTTAATACTTGAATAATCCCTGAAAAAATTTCCTCAACATAAGAAAGTGCATCAGATACCCACCTCCTTGGAAACCAATACCGACATTTTACAAGAATTCCATATACAAGAAGAATCACCATCAAATAAACGTTCCCTGACAACAAGACATAATGGGACCACAGGAAACCCAATCAGAACCAGTACTGCACAATAAAGATCCCAACTATAAGCAAATGCTCAGATGAATTGAAATGCTTGAATACGATGGAATTATTCCTTTCTTTTCCCAACAGACCTTAGACGTTATAACTATGGGAAGCAATATTTTTGTTATTTTGAAGCCCCACCTCCCACTCACGCCGGGGGCCCTAATATAACCTACGACTAAAGGGGAAATTTTTGGAACTTGTGCCCAGGGTTTCTCATCCGAATGGTGGCACTTTGTATGACTGGGTGTTTAACACTGGTTGTGCAGTCATGGCGGGGTCGAAGGTCACTCATTCACACAACATTACCATTTTAACAATTCTGGACAAAGCTCTGATACAACTGATTAAAGAGGAGCCGCCACTGTGTAGATGCTAGTTTGCAGATCCAAAGGTAGCGGATTCGAATCCGAACGATAGCGAAATTTTTTCAAACACGACATTTGAATTCATGTCGACCCACGGTTGAGTGCGTATTAGGTAGGATCGAGGAAAGTAAAGGCGGCTGACGTGATGCTGACCACATCACCAACTGACTGCCGATTGGTCTATAAAATATAGGTCTAGAAATACAGGCCACATGGGAGCGACCATGGTTTCACGGCTAGACACGCCTGCGGATCAGAAGACTTAGGTTCAGGTCTTGATAAAGCCGGATTAAAAGCAAAATTGACCTTGGTTCCCATGTCGACCCAGCCTCGAGTGGGTACCAGGTACAGTCCTGGAAAGTAAAGGCGACCGGCGTGATTTTGACCACATTACCCACAGAGTGTCCATTGGTCTATACAATTTAGGTATCGCAAAATTTTCCCACTAAGCCTGAAGGCGTGGAAACAGGTAATTTTTACTGTTTTTACAATAGTCTGTGGCTAAAGCATGGAGAACGAGCTTCGTAATGCCGGGTTCGATCGCAGCTGCGGGCCTTGCGCTTTGCGTTGGTTTTAACAATAGTATCAAGAAGCCGACCGTCCAGAAGCAATGCCAGCTGCTTGAACGTAATATTTGCCTAGAAAAACCACAGTAGCTAAAAATGTGCTGGGATTGGTTCTGCAAAGTTCTGTAGAGGATACACAGATAACTTTTATAGGCCCAATATGCCTGACGAAGTGAAAAGGGTTTCTTTACTTCTAAGATGATTACTAGGACTATCAACTCGGCCGGTATAATGGCTTTTGATAAGAGTGTGCAGCAGCTTGGATGACGACATGCGAAAGAGTTAACCTGCACAAGAAGCAAATTTATCTGATATTTCGTGGCAGATTCCGTTTATTTTTTCCACCAACTTTTGCTGACGACATCAATTCTCCTTCTTGTATGTTGAAAGGAGTTAAATCCAGGAAGTTTCGCACGGATTTATGGGAGCAAAAATAACACGCATTGCCTTGTTTTAAATATGTGTTGGCTTTTTTATGTTTGTTTGTTCGTCTGACATAATTTTTGCGTTGGATTTTTTAATAACCATTTCCCGATACACTAACGGGTTGATATGTTTCCCTCATGCGTTTTGTTGAGGATATTGCAGTGTACTTTTTTATTAGTCATTTTCGATGTACAATATTGTATATAGCCAATGTATGAAATAGGGGAAACCATTTTTTCGACATCGAAACATTTATGTAGAAGTCGTCCACACCATTTTCTGATCAGTTATCGAACACTCGTTTTTATATACATACGCTTTATGGATGACAATGCATTGTCTTTAACAACTTTAAAACTTCGCGACAGTTTTTGAGCTCGATTTTTATACATTTTTTTAGTCATAAGCTATTGGGTTTTTAATTAACTCCGCCCAACACTGGATGTAATTTGTTCTTACTTCAAAGTTCCACCCCAGTTGTCCCCAAAATAACGGTTTAACGGGGCTCCTGGGCACATCAGAGGGGATTTCTGGGACTTGCGCTCGGGGGATTGTGAACCGAATCATGACACGCACGCGCGCGCGCGCGCGCACACACACACACTCTCTTTGGGGATAACAATGCAATTCATTGAAAAAATATTCAGGACAAGCAACTAGAAAATTGAATTGAGTCTCAGGAGATGTGGTCATACAAAAGAATAGGTCATATATCATGGAAACGAACACATTCCAATACAGAGGTTATGGAAACACTACAAATGAAAAGAGAAATACTGAAACACATAAATAAATAGAAATACTTTGGCAACATTAAAAGACGTAACACGCTAGATGGACGGGCAGCAGTCAAAGAGTGTGTAAAACCAGGACAAGAGACGTTCTGAAGATCCATTGTAGCAATCCGTCACTATGGAGACGATACCTGATTTATAGATTTGTAGTGTTCATTTTGGATATTCAGTGTCATAACTTTCTGTATTACATGCATGATATGTTAAGATTATAAGATAATAATAATATATTTTTTTACTAGCCTGGAAAAAAAAAACTAGTAGAATTTGCCTTGGCCGGTCAGGATTGGGTATGGGCGGAGGTGAATTTGGTAGTAGACATCATACCTGGCTGGTCGCTAGTAGTGGGTTTTCTTCGTGCCGGTGATCTGGTTTGGTGTGCTGTCATGGCGGCTTGCGTGGTTTTCAATCGGTTGCTGGTTTCTGCTTGGGCTGTCGCTGGTGTGTTTAACAATTCTTGGGTCGGCGTTTCTGTTTCTGTTTGTTCGCCTGGCTTCATTCATTTCTTGGTGTCTTTTTCGTGTTAAGGACATTGTGGGCTCTTTGCATTTCTGCGAGGAGTCTGGTTTTGAATTCCTTATATTTGTCGCATTGCTCTGGGTCGTTTAGTTCTGGGTTGTTGAAGTCAGATTCTTCGTCATATTATGTTAGGGGCCAACTGCCGTTCCTCCTTCACTCTCCCTTGCTAGGGTATATCACCTCGTTCATGAGTCCCTCCAATTCCTTTATATAGGCTGGTGTCATTTCCTCGTCGGCTACCAGGGCTGGCATTTCGAATTTTATGCATTCTTGGTCTTCATCCATTAACTGAGCTGGATCTTCTGCCTCTGCATTTTCTGTTTCAGTGTTTTGATCTTTTCATATGGTGGATCTGTCAGTTGCGCCTGGTGTCTAGTCGCTATCGCTTCAGTGACTGTGCTCTTGTCTGCCCTGCTAATGCTTGGTTTTACGGCTGGTGCCTTGCTTCTTTCTATTAGTAAGAGTTTTCTCTCTTGCTTTGCTTCTCGTGTTGCGGTTTCTGCTTTTGCTTTGACTAGCAGGGCGGCCTCTTTGTATGCGGACTCTCTAGCTTCTTTTAGTATGGCCGTCTCTGTCTCTGCTTGCCAGTAGGCTGCTGCCTGGTACTGATATGTCTTCAGCTGTGTCAGAAAGCCTTGGAGTTTTTGGTTTGCTTCGTTGATTTCTGCTAGCAGCCTGGTTTGCTACGCGGCTTCTGCTATCCTGTCTCCTTTCTGGG